GCACTCCCTGCAAGGTGGTGTGCTGCCTCATTAGCTTGACGCCTAGCGAAAAAAAAAAGGGGAGGATATTGCTTGCCTCCTTTCTTGGGAGGAGATACTCCTCATTCCAGCAAATCACGATTTGACATATGTGCAAAAATAATTCATCAAAAGCATAAAAACAAAAACTTGTGCACACTATTATACTGTTATTGATAGAAATATAGGAGTTCCTACTTACAGGAAACGAGGGAGGTATTTTCCAAATATGAATGGTCTTCATCTGTACGTGCAATAGCTGAGATAACTTGCAGACAATCCCCTTGGAAAATCACTCTTGACAAGCCAAGAGATAGCGCAAACATCACAGCCTCTCTTGCCACATAAGCTTCAGCGATGTCAGCCACCAAAACCTGCGGAATACGGACTAAAGTAGCAGCCACAAAACTGCCCATCTATATACTACAATCTTTCACTTATTTGATTTCTTTGCTTAAAATGATAAATTAGCGACGAAGAACAAATAGAATTTGCTAAAAAAGCCGGCTAATGGGATTATAATACAATGTAATTTTCCGTTTTCTAGTTTATGCACAAGTACTCAATAATTAATTATAGTACTCTCTAAAGTTAGTTTTTTTTTTTTAAAAAGCATAACAAAATAAAAGAAAAGGGTATGTGCATGTTTTCTTCTAGATAAGGAGACAAATACAATTAGGAACTAGACAAAGACATAAAGGAATATAATAGTCAAAGTAGAACAATGTGCATTATTAACTTCTATGACCCCATTTTATGTGACATCTTTGTATTATTATGTGGTCGACTGTGGGGTAATTTTCTTATCATTAATAACGGGTTTTTTTTATAAATAAATAAAAAATTATAAACATCTACAATAATAATGATATTTTTTTCATTCTTTTCGTTGTATTATGTTGGTTGGTTATTGAATGAAATCCAATTGTCTCGGAAAAAAAAAATGGTATTCTAGTGTTAAACACGAAAGAGGCCAAAGGCCAAATACCACACACCACTCAAAATAAGGCACAAATGTGAAGGATTCAATCAAACAAAACCTCACAATCAACAGAGCACAACTTGCAGAGCAATCTTAACATTTCCCCATTGAATGTCGAAGAATCACTTATATATGAGGCAAATTAAGGTCAGGTCATGGGGCCAAAGGGGACCTTAAGTTTTGGATCATCCACATTCCACTCCAACCATATGAAGAATGGGATATGTTAAAGCCGCCGCAAGAGCCAAAAGTGGTCCATTTGTTACATTTTTCAAATCTTACCTTGAAATGACCTATGCTTAAGGATGAGCATTTTTGGTACCCCATATAAATTGAACTGCCAAAACGAGAAGAATTGTCGGTGAGGCGGGGCATGTGAGGCCCCCTCCTTGTGTGAATGTGAGTGAAACATGAGGCTTTACTAATAGTTTTGGAGGAAGCTCAAGAAATGGGAGTTTATTTAGGGTTCTTGGTAAGACACTTTTACCTTGAGTTAGGGCAGTGTTGATTGGCTTACATTTTTCAAAAAAAATTTAGCATCTCTTTTATTTCTTCATTTTGTGATCCAAAACATAAAATAAATAACAAATCTTATTCTTTTGTATGCATAAAATCAATACATTACAAACAGAAACTTCTTGGTTAAGTCGGTCTAAAGAGATCCAAATAGAAAGGAAATGAGTAAGACATAGGCAGCTCATGCTCAATTTGGATGGATAAAGCGCGTGTCTCTCTAAACACATGTTTAAAATTCACTTCCTCACATAAGGAGCTTAACAAACTATTACGTGTTCTTCTTATTATAGGTTATATTTATAGGTAAGTCTGTGTGGTTATCTGTATTTGTACTTGCTCTTGTTGTTGACAGCCTTCATTCTCGAATTATAAATACTATCTATCATCTTTATCTATAAAAAAAAAAACCAAACAATTTTAATTAGGGTCCGTGTACCGAAGTTATGCTAATTAATTGAAATGGTTAGATTAAAAAATTATTCTAATTATGCAAATACTTGAGAAGGTGTCTCTGAGGCTGAACACAAATATCTGAATTGACTACAAAATGTTGGATGAAAGCTTAGCACTAGGCGTCCTTACGTTCTTGAATCATGGGGACGTTGAATGGCACATTTACCACAAACACATGGGAAATTCATGCCCTCTCCACCACCATACATATTGGATTTTTCATTCAAATAATTTAATTTATTTTTAATTCAATAATAAGTAAATAAAACCCTTCAAATTCAGAATATCTTCCAAGTTTGACATTTATATATATATGGAGCCTTTGGTTGTACATAAAGGAGAACTAGTAGACTTTATAAACAAGCAAGATTTTTCTATCTTGCATAACTCTCGGGCATATCTTTTTGCTGCACTCATCTTTCTTCTTTTTATCAAAACCAATTGGATCTCAAATTTTCAATTTACCGCATTTGCCTTTCACTTTCTCTATTTAGGAAAAGATAAAAAGAACTCTTCTGTTTCAAGCATTTCTTATGCTTGTAGCATGATATCCCCTAACATATGCCCTTCACTATGCTTGATGATGCAGCTATAATTAAGGAACGATTAAGTCTTACGTAGTAGAGTCGAGTCGATCAAGAATGCTTAATAAACGTAAAGTTTAATTTTATTTTTTGCGGTCAAATTTAACATGTTATATTGTGAAACTTTCAATCGATGAGATGATATAAAGTTAGATTGGATTTTTGGCATGGATAAATATTTAATGAGAACTTGGGGTGGGAAGGGATGGGACCCAAGTACCTTTCACACGTCAATTTGCTTTTCTATGTGCCAGGCATACTTGGAATTGGTTTGACAAAAATGCACACGTAGGTGGCTGTGGCTATTTTTGGATAATGACTGTTGTGGTAGGGTTTGGGCTTTATTAAATGTGATGCACTAAATAAACCACAAGGGAAAAGTAAAGTAAAATATCTAAGAAGAATTAGAATGAATGTTTCAACTATGCCATGTGCCTTTGAAAATGACCTTAATAAAAGTGTTTTGAGTCGATGACTGTGGAAATTAATATCTAAATTTGGGCTTAATTTTTGGCTCAACTTCACCATGAAGATTGTAATCCAAAGAGAAAAAAAAATACTTGTAACCCAATTTAAGTATTGCTTTGACAATTGCATTCAAATCAAGGAAGCCTATAAGTGGAAAAAATAATTTACAAAGTTAGCTCAAAATCCGGCCTGGCTCGATGTTTAGCCCCGATTGGCTCAGTCTGCTCTATAAGATTGAGTAGGACTTGAGCAAAGGGTTTGAAATCTTGAATTAAGTTAATTTTTTTAATATTGTATAAAAATTTGTTAAAAAAAGATATAAAAAAAACTTAGGAAAAAAGAAAAAAGGCCCGGCCCGTCTAGGCCTATGGGCGGCCTGGTTCGGCCCAGCCCACAAAGCCCATTTAGACCCAACGCAATAAACAGGCACGAGTTTTGACCTTTGAAACCTTGACCCGGCCTGAAAAATGAAAAAAGCCCGAAAGGCCCGGCCTCAAATTTTTGTTGTCGCTATTGTTCGTGTTGAAATTTCCTTCTTATTATATATGTTTATTTATTTTCACAAATGTTTAACATCAGACCTTACAAAAATGGGCACAAGTTATGCCTCTCACTCTCAAATTCTTGTTCATCCTATCTTTACAAGCCA